GTAAATTTTCACCTGAAATCGTTTTACTTCCACCTGTTTCCTTTGAAGAGTTTGCACAATACAAAAACCTGTCGACTATTTGAGTCCAAGTTCCAAAACCCAGAACTGTTTCTGGTCTGGTAGAGTTCATTGACGTATAAATAGAGCCTATAGGATATAATGTTTGAAGTATTTCTGTCTTTAATGTTTGAAGCTCTGTTTTGTCTGCTTTCTTGTCATATAAATCTTGAGCAGTGAATTTAATATTATGTTCATCCTTCATGACATAAACATCTTTACATCTAATGTTTCTCATCGTCGTTATGTCGTCATCCGATGTTAAACCTTGTGGAAAGTTAGGAGGTTTACAATATAATACATCCCCACCAGTTTCTTCAACCGTTCCTTCAATACTTTCTATAGCAACAGTTGTAAAACTTGTATGTGTATGGTTCTTATTTGCTTTCTTCTCTAACTCATCGTTAACATAAGTTTTATCTGCTTTAAGGTCTAAACATCCTGAAACCCATCCTGTATCGGCTTTAACTTTAAAAGTCTTCGATGTCCATTCATGGTACCAGTCAACCCTTTCTATAATTTCTTTATCTTTTTCATACATATTCCTTATCCGCTTCTTCTCTAACACACTAGCCATAAGTCCCTTATCTACCTTATTTTCAAGGCTAACGTTTAAGTCTGTTATTTCAGATATAGAATGTGTATGAGTCTTTTTAGAATATTCGTTTTCAGCTCTTGTCACTTCACTTGACATTTTATTGTCAACATATGTTTTGTCTGCTAGTTCAGGATGAGTATGTTCTTTTGTTGCATAAGTTGTCTGCTCTTCTTTCTTCTTGCTATTTTCTACATATTCTTTGTCAGCTTTGTTGTCAACATCTGCTTTCAAAAGAAGTTCATTTATAGGTTTCTCGTTTAAAGTTCCTTTTGTTGGATTTATACAGACAGTATGGTTCTTATTGTCTTGAAACAGAAACTCATCTGTCATTGGGTTTAATGTCAGTTTTAAGTTTCCTTCTTTCAATGACTCAGATATCTTAGAATAGTTTGAAAAGTTTGTTGTGTTCTTATTTAGAGCTTGCATAATGAGTTGTCGGTTGTGTTGTATTTCTCTCATAGACGCTGTTTCATTTGACATTTTTATTCTAGATAAAATATGCTTCCAATAGAAAAAGAAAATTCAAGAGTTGCTACAACTAAACCATTAGATGAACTTTTTACTAATGTCGGTCAAAAGTTTGAGACAGAGACCGTAAAGCATGAAGGCTATCGTTTTGACTACCCATTAAGATGGCTAAGAGACCCATCTGTCACAAAAGCTATTGGCTTTCGTAGAATGAAGTTTGTGTCTGTAGAAGATAAAAGTTTTCCATTTATTGTAAGGTTTCATATAGATTATATATCTGAAGGGAAACGAAAAATGTGGGAAGAAATTGAGCTAATACAAGTTGACCTTTCATCTTCTCTACAGACTGCGTTAAAAAATATAGAAGATAAAATAAATTCATGTTATGCAAAATATGCTGATGAATATGCAAATACCGAGAGCACACTTTATGTGAGAATTGTATATGACAAACAAAATTCACAAGTGTCATTTCAAATCTACGAAGACAATCCAAAGAAAGACGAACAAATATATACAGAATTCACTGCAATGTCATGGTATTATTTGCAAAGAATGTTAAATCAGAAAGTCGAACTTCCTTTAGCAAATATTTACAGTCGATATGCAAGAGATGAACCATATTTATTTAAAGATGTTTTCGACCCAGCTGCTATTATTGTTCATGCTTCATTTTCTGGCGCACAAAACTCTTTTTATGCTTGGCAAATGACTTTTACGAAAAACCTACAAAGTTATACGAACCACCAAGTGGAAGTATTTCAGACTTTCAAGTATGGTTTACTACAGATGGAAGAAAAAGAATAATTCCATTATACCATGCGTTTTACTTAGAACTTAGTTTCATATACAACTACTATCGAACGGTAAAAATATAATTTTTTAATACGGTTGAGGTGTTGGATTTGGTTGCCAACTAGACTGTGGTGCAGGTTCAGGCTGTTGTATAACAGGAGCTTGTCTTCTGGTTCAGGGTCTTTAGGTATAATACCAACAAAACTGACCTACTCTTTTACCAATATTTTTGACTCCGTTCCAAATTCCTCTTCCTACGGTTTTTATTCCATTCCATATACCTCTTCCAACATTTCGAAAGAAGTTTCCTATCTTACTGAAGAAACCCATTTTACTATATGTAAAAATCTAATGTCCGCCTAGTCTCTTACGTTTCCTGTTGAGTTCCATAGCATTCTTTAACTGGAGCTCATACATTCTGTTTCTCCTCTGGTAGAAAACATATTCTGGGTCAACTCCTGTGTTCGCGTCATCTGCATAAAGTTGTTTATATCCCACTTCAGGGTTTGTATAAAACTCTTTCCATCTCATATTTGCATACCATGGTGGCAAACCTAACGCAGCGTCATTTGACATGGCAGTTTGCATTTGTACATCTGTTGGCACTTGACCATAGTTTGCCATTGCAGTTTGTATTCTAACTTCATTTGGAATATTCTCTGGGTTTGGTTGTCCAGGTTGCTGTGCATTCGCTAAGTTCTGTGCGTCCATTTAATATTAGATAAAAATATCTCTTACGAGTACATATACTGAACATTTGCAGGCATTGGTTCATCTTCATATTCTCTGTACTTTTCTGCCACGTCAAATAAATAAATGACACAATGGAAAAAACCTAAAACAAGTAGTCCGATTTCAAACCACATTTACTTACTAATAAAATTTCTTTGTTATGACACTTTCTCCAGTTTATAGGACCTCTCTCATATTCTATCTTGTCATATATAAACTCATAGTCATGTATGTCCTCTAACCATCTCATAACGGTTTCCAAACCACTTTTATCGGATGTAAAGTAAAAGCATGGATGGTTATGTATAACGTCTAAAGTTTCTAAAGAGTCTCTCAAAGTCCAGTCTACTTGGTATTGAAAATCCCATGTGTTATAGAACGGCGGGTCCACTATAAAGAAACATTTTCCTTGTCTTTATATTTTTCATACAAATCTGTCCAATGACATCTCACAAACTCTATACCCTCAATATATTTTTCTATGTCCTCTTTGAAAACATTTGTATAGTTAAGATATAAAACTTTTGACATAAGTGTTTCAATGTCATGAACTCTTATAGCACCACTATATAATAGTCTAGCAGATATACTATCCAGTCTATATATTCTGCTTTTTTCAAAACCTCTCTCACAATATTTTTGTTATCTAATGGTATACGTTCCATCTTACCTATAGGTATCTTTTCTTTTAACTCTTTCAATATTTGTTTGTGTCTGGAATATGTTTGAGACGGTCCATATAGTTGTCGAAGTCATTGCATATAATCTTTGAGTCTGGGAATATTATATGGCACAAATGGGATATATAGAAACTTCCACCGAACAAATCTACAAATGTTAGACCATTCGGTAGTTTCTTAAGTTCTCTCAATATAATATCTTTACATCTACTCTTATTTCCAAAGAACGGTAACGGTGGTTTTGTAAAATTCATTTATATATAATAATAAAAATGTTTTTACCCGAAAAGTGACAGAAAAGTGACAAACCATGAAAACATATATAATTTGTGAAAAGCTCCTGGAAGACCCGTATATAAGAACTTCATTTATAATAATCATCTTCAGGGCTAGAAGGGGCGCAGCCCCTGGAAGCCCCACTACCTTTTTTTTGCATTTACCACTTTCTGACATTCTATGAAAAAATTAATATATCTCTATTTTCATAGCAGAAAAGTATAGCAGCTATATTAGGTACTAAGGTTTATATGCTGGTAGGAAGCTGTGCTAGTTTATACTGAATCTCATGATGTCGAGTTAATTTCGAATAATTTCGGGAGTTAATTTTAATTTTGCAAAAAAGATAATGGGTATTCTAGAGTCTTGAGTATAGAAATAAACTAAGTCAATTTTATAGCCGATAATTTATCGCTAAGACCATAGCAAAGTGATAAAGAGGCATATGAAAATGAAATTTAGGTGTCACTTTTCGTGATAGTACATTCTCGGTTCATATGAACTTGTATGAAATATCTCTATATAAAAGATCCAAAAAAATCATAAATCAATTACGGTTTTTGTAAACTTGCCAATCGGATCCATTTACAAAAAAGGCATCGTCTTAGATTTTGACAAATTTTGAAATGGGTTGTTGTGCCAATTTCACACTTTTCATTATTTCATTCCTATCAATTGGTATTATTGTTGCTGCGAGCGCTGCTTGCGTTGTCTTTATTAACAAAGCAAAGATCAAACAGATCAGCAATAATGATACCATTCTAATTTATTTAATTATCATTCTTTGCGCATCCGCATTTATTCTTGCTTTTGCTATTTATGCTTCGATATCTAAAAGTCGCTGCCCATCTCTAATTCTCGGAATAATTCTTTTAATTTATTCTTGTGGTGTTATTGGTGCTATTGTTGTCTACATTCTTTTCAAGAAGAATATTATTCAAGAAATAGGCAAACAATGGAACGCTCACGAAGGTAAAGATGATCCTATCGGTCGTGCTATACCAGAGGCTGAAACTTATTTAGGTTGTAAAGGTTGGAATGAATCCAATGAAACTACATGTTATGGCAAGCTGAATACTCTAATCAAAAAATATGCTATTTATGGCTACATAATTTTTGGTGTTGTTGCTCTCATCTTATTCATTGCCGCATGTATTGCATTCTGGAAAGTTTGTGCCAAGGAAGATTCTCTCAACTCAAAGAAGAACGCCCCATTGGAACAGCCTTTATCTTATGGCTGGTAAATACTATTCTCTAAACAGTTTTTTACTTAATTTTCTCTTTCATTTTGACCTCTAAAGATTAATTTAAGAAAAAAAATTCCTTTGCAAGTATTCTGTATATGTAAGTTAATATAAACTCTAATTCTTTTATATAATGGTGATAATTCTTAAGAATTCTAAGGAATTTATTAGCATTAACAATTTTTGACGATTAAAAATTTCAAAATTTAAATATGCTGAAGATTAATGTTATCCTTCCCGGAGATAAACATCTTCAATTCAATTTACAACCTCAAAATACAACAAAAGACCTTATAAGTATGATCAAAAATGACAGTAATGTTCAAATTCCTCGAAATAAAATACTTACGCTCATTTATCGCGGACGAATATTAACTGGTAATGAGATCTTATCAAGTTTTGATTCAATGACAGAGTTTACTATACAAGGTTTTTATCGAAATGATCCCAATTCGCCCAATAATAATAATGAAGAGATAATTATTAACGATTTAAGAGGATTTGATAGGCTTCGAAGGATGAATTACACTCCTGAGCAAATCCAAGAGATTAGGAATTCATTTCATAGTACTCATCAACCTGAAGATGGTTCACAACAATCAATGATAGACCTTGAGGAAGAATGGTTTCCTGTACTTTTCAATCAGCGAGATATTGGGAGCATGATCAGAGCAAATCTTCCTAATCTTCAGAATTTTGCAGTTCCCGCACAACCAAACCAAGCTACAGAAGCAGATGCAGCTCATGAGCATCCTCAAAATGAACAAGCTAATAATGATCATACAGAAAACAATAATGCCCATAATTCACCTTTAATAAATAATAATGATGATGACAGGAATCAAACAGATAATGGTATTGATTTTCCTGGGCAAGATTTCTTGTATGGCTTGATTTTTGGGCTTTTCTTTGGTATACCATCAGTTATGTTGGTGTATATCGATGTTCGAGCATATTCTTTCGTTGCCGGTATTATCATTGGAACAATAATCAATGCCTTGCTAACAACTTATTAATTTCTATCTTTGTTTTATGTTTGTATTCATAAAAAATTTTTTTTTCTTAAAAAGTACATAAGATTTTGCCATCACTAAAAAATAAGAAGTAAAAGAGTAATTTTTATATATAGTGTAGAAAAAAAAATAAATTTTACAGTATTAATTGACAATATCAGTGTCATAAGTAGAAAGAGCTTTTCTAATTTCAGAATTGCGATCATCTCTTCCCTTCTTTCTACTGCAAGAAATAAGCTTAACTGCAAGAGCAATAACGAAAATTCCGAGAAATACATAAATTGCGTACTCCCAAACGTATTTAAGGCCTTTGAGATATTTCATCTGAACGCCATAGATCATATCTAAAGCAGTAAGTCTTGTATAAATCGGGAAGTTCATTGTTGAAAATAATGCAACACCAAAGCTGGCAAAGAGCATAAGGCATGAGTTAAACAAGATTGAATTCATTGGAGTATTCTGATCTTCCATAGGATGTACTCTGATAATGAGTAAATTCAAACCGAAAGAAGTAGCTCCTGAGAGGACGCATAAGTACAAGTAATATGTGAACAGGCCAAAGAATATAACTGCAGATAGTGCAAATTTAGTATCTAGCAAATGGAAGAATTGATTTAAGAATGGATGAACATCTAAGAAAGTGTAAACAATGATGTGAATGATCCAAATGAGTGAAATTATTATGCAAATTATGCCTAAGAATAGTTCACACCATGGCCAAACCGGATTTCCTCCACGAACTTTGTATGATACTTCGATAAGCTGGTATGCACGCTCCATATTCTCGATTTGATCCGCATATTTATTTACCATTCTCTTGACTTTACGGTTTTTGTAGCCTTTATGCTTTCCTTCTTCTCGGATTTTGTTGCCTTCCTCGATAAGCTCCTCAGCCCAGCGATTGATTAATTGTTGGCCCTTGGCATATTGCTTGAGAGAAATTGGTCTTGGTCTACGAACGAAATCAATAAAGAGATTGATTGGAAGCGTGGCAAATCCCATGCCACCCAAAATAATCAAGATTATATATCCAATGAAACCTATAACAGTAACAACAAAAATAAGTGGCGATAGTTTGATGTCAATTGTTGTTGAAGTAGAACAACTATATATTGATGTGGTAAGTTCGGATTCATCGACAACTTTGCCAGCATGAATTGTTGCTGGAATTTGGCAATCGCTCACAAGGAAGTAGAGTATGAGTAAAAATATTATAAAGAACAAAAGGAATGGAATAACACTTAATGTTGCTTTGCAGATTGGGTGCTTAACATCTTCATCTTCTGCGTTTTCATAGTATGTAAGTGTGAAAGGAATGACAATGAAAGCGAGAACGGCAGAAATTATTGTCAAAATCCAACACATAAGGGTGGTATTCATTGGATTTGGCGTTGACCTATTAAGTGCGTCGAGAGGTAAAATTAAAACGTTCATTACTGAAATGCCGATAGTTAAAATGATGATAATTTTGATAAACCATGAAGACTTTTTATCTTCTGGCATTTGGAATCTAACAACCAAGTAAATGCCAACAAGAATAGATAGTATGCAGAATATAATTGTTGCAAGAATAACTACCCAGGCATACATAGTTTAATATTATTAACTTTTTGAAAAAGTTGAAAAGGTGCTTGAAATTTTTCACCGATATGAATTTTTTCGTTCTTTAATTATTTTTAATTCAATTCCTTGATTTGTAATATATTTTTGTGTATTTTGATAAATTGCTTCGAGAATGTAATGCAAATTTAGGAATATTCACACCGGAAATTGGAAAACTTCATATTTTTATGCTGCTTAATTTATAATGAAGATAGTTAACTTATATTCCGTAATTTTTTATTAATTAAGAAATTTCCATGATATGTATATTGGTGATTTAATTTGTATATGATCTGTTTAGCTTTTTCGCGGGGCAATCGATGATTTTGTAATATTTTGGTTAATTTTTCAAAATCAATCCCATCATCATTTATTCTTAAATTAAGTATATCAAACTTGGATTGTGTATTGTGAGGATAAGTAAAATATTCGATAGAATTGAGTAAAAATAAAGTTTTTATTATATTTTTTAATTAACTTCTCCCGAAAAGTTGTTTTGTATTAACATTGTGGCTAAAATGAATTTTAATAACAACCATCTGTGTTTTGCAAGCAATTCTTAACTAATGTTTTATTCAATTTTCGTTCATTCAAACGATTGTATTGAATTACTTCGAGGTATGATTATTTTTATGATCACTTCTAGATGTGTATCTTGTTCATTTGAAAAAAATGATATCTGACTCAATCAGAAAGAATTTATTTTACCATCTGAGTTATATCATTTGAGACTTTTCAAAATAACTGGAGCCCATTGACTCGATTGATCATATTGATTTCAAAATAGACTGTTTTGATGCTTTGCTAAACTATTTAACATTAAAAGAAACTTTAAAAAGTGTCAAAATTTAAATGCTGATATATGTACATACTGTCTCTGGAAGAAAACATCAATTAGAAGTTGAACCGAGCATCACAATAGCAGCAATTAAAGAAGAACTACTTCAAAGAGAAGGTATTTCAATAGAGCAGCAGCGTTTATTATTTAGAGGTCAAAATCTTACAGACAATCAAACTGTTGAAACAGCCCACATATCTGCTGGTGAAGTTTTACACATGGTTTTAGCTCTTCGTGCAGGCTAAAATGATTATTATTTTTAGAATAAAAAAAAATAAAAAGTTATTTACTAAATACGTTTTTCTGGTCTTGGTGAAAATGTTTGTATTATGCTGCGCTTAGTTGTATCAAATTTGGCTTGCATACTGACAGATGAAATCATTACGATTGGAATCTGAGAATCCTGATTATCTTTTGTATAATCCGCTTGTTTTTTAAGTAGCTCTGCATCAAGCTTCGAATTGTTAATTTGAGCTTTAACTCTTTCGTGAAGTAAAATGAAATCTTTAGAATGGCGTTCAATCATTAGGCGGTATTGCTTTTCGAAAAGATCATCAAGTATTTTCAGTTCAGAAGATCGTGTTGCGGATTGTTTTCGGGTAGTATCACGTAAAGTTTTTGCAGAATCGATAAGTTGAAATGATGCTAATACCCTTGCAGTAGCCAATTTTGAATTACTTGCTTCCAAATCTTGATCTATTTGCTTTTTGCGAGCAGTTCTCCATTCGTTTTCAAGATTTTCGACTTCTTTTCGTTGATCTTCCACCATTTTCAGGCATAAATTTTTCCCTTCTTCTAGTATTTGATTTGTTTCTTCATTGTATGAATCCTTAATATTGTCAATTTGTTTTTGATATTGAATTGCATGATCATTTTTTAAAATTTCGGCTTGAACTCTATAATGCGCATCTTCATTAATCATTTCGATATCCTCTTCATCTTGATCTGCGAGTGCATCGGCTTCATCATCTTCAATAGCATTTACGTCATCGATGAGGCTTGCATTTGGAGTTAACATTGATAATTCTATTTTCGAATTTTGAAAAATTCAAATGAATGGGGTGTGATATTTGTTTTTTAAAAAAATAGATTGGAAAATTATTAATAAAGAATTTGATAATTTTTTTTCTTTTCTCCTTTTACCAAATTTAGTTCTGTTTGTTTGCCTGTGTCTAATTAGAAAGCATATTTCAGCTATTCTTACTCTTTTTAGTAAATAAAAAACTTAGAACGTTATAAGAAAGAGGGAAAAAATTTATAATGATTAAGGGTGCACACGAGAGGATCATGTAAACTTCAGAATTTAGAACCTTATTTTTAGGCATTATCTTGGCTACCTATTTAGGCTCGAAAAGCAAAAAATATCAAAAAATACAACTTGACTCCATTATGACCCTTTCATGGAGGTAGTTTTTATCCTCTAGTATTTTCCCTTTGAATCTCTTTACAATTCGAAATCAAATTCAAACCTCAGTAGAAGAAAGGAAGAATCGACTTACTACGGTTGTAATACGAATAAATACATATATTTAATTATTTTTATTTACATAATAATTGTTTGAAGCTCATATTCCATCAAAATTTTAAATAAAAACATTAAAATGTTGAAAATGTTCATATATTTTAATAGGGTTTTGGCACTTTATTGAGGAATTACTACATACATAGTCGAACTGAACTTGATATTTTGAAATTTAAATTATTTATCAAAATTAAAATTTAACTTGAAATTTATAATTATTTAGTCATATTTTGCATAATTCTGTTGTAAACAGAAATTCATCAAAAGTGACACCTCAGAAAAGCTAAAATATTGAATTTTTGGAACTTTTGATAGAGCACGTTTTTAAATATTAATTAAAGCAAATGTATATTTTGTAAAGATTCTTTTTAATAAAAAAATTTTTGAAGAAGAACACAAAATCTTCTGAAAAATAATATCACATAAACTCATATTATTTTCTAATATATAACTATTTTATATAAAAATCAAATTCAATAATCTTAAAAGCGAAGGATAAACCTCAAAATTTACGAATATAATGAGTGGGAATATAATGCTTATCTATCATAAAACCATATGAAATATCAATTTTTGCTTTACGCCTAATTTTTGGCGACAATTAGCAAAAATGTTAAATGTTAACACTCAGTCCATTTGAATATGAAAAATAAAATTGACTTTGATTAAATGTTTTTATTTATCATGCAATTCTTCTTGCGACCAAAGATTTGAATAAAATTTCAAAAAATAAGATAGCTTAAAATAATATATGTTAACATAAGTTTTATCTGCTTTAAGGTCTAAACATCCTGAAACCCATCCTGTATCGGCTTTAGTTTTTAAAATTCTTCGATGTCCGTTCATGGTACCAGTCAACCCTTTCTATAATTTCTTTATTCTTTTTCATCCAACATATTCCTTATCCGCTTTCTTCTCTAACACACTAGCCATAAGTCCCTTATCTACCTTATTTTCAAGGCTAACGTTTAAGTCGTTATTTCAGATATAGAATGTGTATGAGTCTTTTTAGAATATTCGTTTTCAGCTCTTGTCACTTCACTTGACATTTTATTGTCAACATATGTTTTTGTCTGCTAGTTCAGGATGAGTATGTTCTTTTGTTGCATAAGCAATGTTAGCTCTTTCTTCTTCTTTTGCTATTGCATCGTCTACATATTCTTTGTCAGCTTTGTTGTCAACATCTGCTTTCAAAAGAAGTTCATTTATAGGTTTCTCGTTTAAAGTTCCTTTTGTTGGATTTATACAGACAGTATGGTTCTTATTGTCTTGAAATAGAAACTCATCTGTCATGGGTTTATTGTCAGTTTTAAGTTTCCTTCTTTCAATGACTCAGATATCTTAGAATAGTTTGAAAAGTTTGTTGTGTTCTTATTTAGAGCTTGCATAATGAGTTGCCGGTTGTGTTGTATTTCTCTCTAGGAAGCAATATCTTTCGACATTTTTATTCTAGTAAAATTGCTTCCAATAGAAAAAGAAAATTCAAGAGTTGCTACAACTAAACCATTAGATGAACTTTTACTAATGTCGTCAAAAGTTTGAGACAGAGACCGTAAAGCATGAAGGCTATCGTTTTGACTACCCATTAAGATGGCTAAGAGACCCATCTGTCACAAAAGCTATTGGCTTTCGTTAGAATGAAGTTTTGTGTCTGTAGAAGATAAAAGTTTTCCATTTATTGTAAGGTTTCATAAGTGATTATATATCTGAAGGGAAACGAAAAATGTGGGAAGAAATTGAGCTAATACAAGTTGACCTTTCATCTTCTCTACAGACTGCGTTAAAAAATATAGAAGATAAAATAAATTCATGTTATGCAAAATATGCTGATGAATATGCAATACCGAGAGCACACTTTATGTGAGAATTGTATATGACAAACAAAATTCACAAGTGTCATTTCAAATCTACGAAGACAATCCAAAGAAAGACGAACAAATAATATACAGAATTCACTGCAATGTCATGGTATATTTGCAAAGAATGTTAAATCAGAAAGTCAAACTTCCTTTAGCAAATATTTACAGTCGTATGCAAGAGATGAACCATATTTATTTAAAGATGTTTTCGACCCAGCTGCTATTATTGTTCATGCTTCATTTTCTGGCGCTCAAAACTCTTTCTTATGCTTGGCAAATGACTTTTACGAAAAACCTACAAAGTTATATGAACCGCCGAGGGAAGTATTTCAGACTTTCAAGTATGGTTTACTACAGATGGAAGAAAAAGAATAATTCCATTATACATGCGTTTTACTTAGAACTTAGTTTCATATACAACTACTATCGAACGGTAAAAATATAATTTTTTTAATACGGTTGAGGTGTTGGATTTGGTTGCCAACTAGACTGTGGTGCAGGTTCAGGCTGTTGTATACAGGAGCTTGTTCTTCTGGTTCAGGGTCTTTAGTATATACCAACAAACTGACCTACTCTTTTACCAATATTTTTGACTCCGTTCCAAATTCCTCTTCCTACGGTTTTTATTCCATTCCATATACCTCTTCCAACATTTCGAAAGAAGTTTCCTATCTTACTGAAGAAACCCATTTTACTATATGTAAAAATCTAATGTCCGCCTAGTCTCTTACGTTTCCTGTTGAGTTCCATAGCATTCTTTAACTGGAGC